TTTTCACCTGCCCCCTGGCCATGATTTCCCTCCCCTGCCATCGCCATGATTATTGCCGTGCTTACGGTACGGTAACGAACCGATGCCAACAGCCTGAGCGAGCCAATGACCGTGCCCCGCGCCCCCCGGCCCGAGCCCCGGCATATCTGTGCAGGGCTTGTGGCACACCCCCGATCACCTGAGCACCCACGTTGCGTTTACGAGAGGTCAAATGATCGTTTGCCCGCGGGGTTATGTTGCTGGCACGTCTGGGCGAACGGAATTGACAGGCGAACCGGGCGAGCGAGGGGCAGGCGGGCAAGCGGGCGGTGGTTCGTCCGGTCAGGTCGTCCCTCGGGGAAACTGGACGTCCCATCGATGGCTTGGTGGTTTGGGCGTCAACGCGAACGGGCTATTATGGCGCCTAGCCCCACCGCAGGAGAAGAGGAGAGGGCACCTCAACTGACCTTCCGACGACGATCCTCCTATGTCGGCGTTGGCCTAGCGCCCAAACGCGTTCCGTGTCCCGCCTTCTTCCCTTTCCTTCCCTTCCCTGGCAGCAACGTTCCATGCCCAAGCCAAAGCTGCCCATCGGCCTGCTCGCCCCTCCGTTCACCCGTGATCGCCCCATCCCGCCGCCCGTCGCCCTTCGTCCTCCCGTGCCGACCTCCCCGCATTCCTCTAGATTCCATACCCTCTCTCAAATGAAAATGTGCAACGAAGTTGACAACCCGTCGAAGCGCACGGTCGCAAAATCGCACCTCTCCACAGCATGCCCCGCCTCCTTACATCCCACTCGACGCGATCAAGACGGACGGGCATCCCACCCCTCTACATGATCCTACTGTTCCATACATACCACCTCATCCGTGCCATTCAATCCACGCCATTCCATACATAACCTAAACATAAATATCATACCATTCCAAACCCGCCTCACATCTCAGCGAGCTGTAACATGCATATGTAACGGCTTGTCAGGCAGAACGCATTTCACGTACGGTCCCATTCCCATCCTGCCCACGCTGACATGTACAGCGCTAGCCCAAGCATCCATCTCGGTCGAACGCAGCCCACCCACCCGCCTGGCTTTACTTACTTACTCACTCACTTGCTGTAAGATGCCCATCTCATGGAGTTACGCCCACCGGGTATCGGGTGTGAGCCCGAGGTGCACTTCGAGCAAGTCCTCCTGGGCTTAAAGCTTAAGGCTTTGTCTTGATTCTAATTGGCATGGAACACGTAGGGATAACGTACGTACGGTTCTGATGAACAGGCGCTGATGACTCCACCTCACTTCAACTATGCGAGAGAGTGAGCGAATGGGGGACAAGTCTTTCCTTCATCTTTCCCTTGGGCGGTCCGACTCACCTCCACCCCGAAGAGTCGACACGGGTCCAGGACTGAGTGCTTACGACCAAGCAAGCACCGCCAGGATCACCCGTACGTAGGTCAGGTCAGGTCAGGCTGGCCGATGTGGCGTTCCGCTTCCCTTCGCATACTGAGCACGCGCACCAAATCAAATCATGCATCTGTAAATTACCCCGAACCATTCGTCGGGGTCGGCGGGGTCGTGTGACCTCCCCGCCCCGGGTTCCCCATAAATTATTACATCTTAAGTTTAAGGAAGGGGAAGGGCACTTCCTTCCTTGAGCTTCACGTCGACGGCGGGCATCAGAGGCGAAGGGGCCCCGGAGGCTCGGGGGTTCAGAACATGCCATGCATAAGTAGAGGTAGAGTGTAAGTATCGTTCGACTTGCGTTTGAACTCGAATTCGAATTCCTCGTTTGGAAATTGGGACAGAGGACAGGACAGAGTCAGACAGACGTCCCCCAGCTGCACGGAAGAACTTACCCCACACTCCTACCCCACCCCACACTTCTTGAAGTGCTAGTGCTAGCGCACGTCTATCCATCCATCCACTTCTACCGTTAATACACCCCAGGCGCTTCACCTAGTCCAGTCTAAGGAGTGGCGTCTGCCCATTGGACTCCCGTCGCCGCCGTACTCGACATGATTACCCCGCCCTTCCTTGACCTTCCATGCACATATAGCTTCTAGCCTACCCCGCACGTCAGCCCCGCGCTCATCAATGCATATGCATCAACCCCGACGTACGACCTACGCGTCCCATAGCTAGGCCTACCCCGCCTCGCCGGCCGACAGGAGAACGTCTTCCCTCGGCCTAACCGGTAACCCCGTACTGGTACTAGTAGAGTCCGTGGTATCGATGTCATTGATATCCACCCCTTCCTCCGTCGCCCTCTGGCCCCCGCTCCTCGCCTTCTCTCACTCAAGTGCCTCTCTCTCACTCAAGCGCCCCCTCCCTCCCCCTTCTCCCGTACTCCGATCTTCGCGCCCTCGAATGTCGGATTCCGGACCTCCCATACTCCGATCCCCGCACCCTCGAATTCCGGGCCTCCGACCCCTCGCAACTCGTGAGCATCGGAAGCGTCATAAGCGTCGCTTTAATTTGCTTCCCCGCAGCGCTTAGCCGTACCCCACACATCGATATCTACATCAATTAAATACATCAACGGTCGCTACTAGCACCTCGCACTCAAGCCAGTGACTGGCACGGCGCACTTGACCAAGTGGCGGCTCATCTCTACCCCACAGTCAACAGTCAACAGTCAACCAGTGGTAGGTTTAATAGGCACTTGAAGTTAGCTACTACCCGAACGTGGGCCTTCGGCGGGCGTTGTTGTTCCACGTATGTATCGTGCGCGTAGCCAGGTCCAGGAGCGCGCCCACCGTTAGTAGGAAACAGCCAGTGCCCAGGATGCCGCTATGTAGAGCTCAAACGTAACTACCTCGGCCGGTCTTATATTTCGATCGACTCGAGAAATTAGAATCTTCAGACGCGGTACGTACTACGCTGACGTACGAAGGGCTTCGCACAAACGCCTCATTCCTCCTCTGATCTGCAGAGGTTGTCAATTAAGTACTCTGCACTGGACTTCGTAGTGGAAAGATAATGCAAAGACCATAGAGCCTCTCACTTGGTCTCTTTGGACAGCGAAGCAAACGAACGAACGAACGAACGCGTGAGCCGTGCCGACTGACTCTCACCAACCCGGCTCAGCTCGACACTACCCAAACCCAAATGGTGGCCTGTCTGTATGTGGCCGTACGTCAACCGGGTTCAGTAAAGTAGATGCGCCACACATGGACTAATGCTGCGGTATTATTTCCATGGCACGTATTTATTATAAATTCCACGGCACGTCCTCACATCAACTACATAGCATCTTAGTACTTCCGTGCAACGCGCAGCGCTCACGGGACCGCGTCACATCTCAGACTGTAACTTTAAGTGTCAACAGTCATAGCGGGGCGCCTACCAGGCGGGCCTGGAAAGCTCGAGATTCCGGTTTTCGTGCTGTATGGAGTGTCGCGCTACCGCGTTAGTGCGTTACCTGGGTACTTATGTACGTATACGTTGCGTCGCGTCGGGGAGTCGGGGACAAGGTGCATGGAATTACGGTGCCCCTCCGACATCCGTTCTGCAACTATCACACCGTCAGTGTTTTAGGCACCCAACCGGAGACGGGGATATGGATATGTGGTAGGGAATGCATCAATGATCAATCGATCGTGAATGAATTAATGATGCATGGAGGCTATATTCCTGACCATCTTCTGACGTTTAGACGTGTTAAACAACCGGTGTTTTTTGGGCGCTAAACTCCGCGGGTTTTCAAAATTTATCGTTGAGCCGATTCGCAAGGACGTCATCACGCAGGAAGATGGCAGTACGCTCGACTCCTGCACACCGGGTATTCCTAGTACCACAGTACTTGAACTTCATTCACCGCCCGACAAGCTTTCCTACTCCCTTTCCCACCTTTCCCCTTTCCCGCATAACAATAAAGATAAAGACAACGATAACGTACATACACCCCTCCTTAAGCCTTCCCTTCCCCACGTTTCTAGATCATGATCGACTCAAGTACATGCTTCTCTCACTTCGAAGCTCGGTGTCGTTAGCGTTACGCGTTCTGTACCCCAGACTGCGAGTCGACTGACCTTTCCCCATACTCGACTGGCCTTACCCCATACCTTACCCCGCATCCCACGTTCTCTGTTCATCAGTATCCGGAAGCTTAAGCAGTGTCCGTGGTACCCTGGTCCGTTGATTCTCGCGATCGATTCCCTGGCTGCGCAGACGTTGAACGTTGAGCCTTCGCGTTCGTGGGCGAGTGCCCGTGCGGGAGGTTTATGTTGCAATGAACCTTCGTGTCTTCGTGTCTGATGCGCTTCTGCGAATGGGCACCCTCCCCTCCCTCTCACGTCCCAATACCCTTCACCTTCTCCTCCGATCGATCGTTCTTCTCACTCCGCTGCTCGGTTCTTCGACTTGTCAGCCAGATGCTGTGCATCGAATTCGAAGTACTTAGAAAAGGCTACTTTCGGCCTTCTTCAAGAAACGAACTTACCTTACCCTCCTCAAGCCAACCCTCTAACCCATCCACCAACCCATCTGCCAACCCTCCACCCAGCCATCGCTGAACAAAACTCTACCTGACTGACAGCTGACGTTCAAGTCGGAACGTCCCTCGGTGTCTATTCCCCAAATGCGCCACACCCAAACTACGGCCCGGTGTTATTTACATTTCTAGCACGACGAAGATCTCCATGGTACAAACGCGCTCACGGGGCGCGTTTCATGGGACGATAGACCGCTCGGATGCCTACGAGGCGAGTCTGGGTAGCTCGAGGTCTCTTGGGTGTCCGGTTTTCGAGCTTTATGGAGGATGCCGTCTTGTTACGTCGGCTCGCGGGTCGTGGGCTTGAAGCTTGAATCTTGAAGGCTTACGTTTCTAATCCGGCGTTTTTTGGGGGTTTTTTGGGGGTTTCTTCGAATTCACCTTGACATCGCAGAAAATCTACTTGTTCTACTGCCCACTGACATCCAACTCTAACCCCGCGGTCTTGGTGGTTTTGCTCCGGTTAATAAAATCCTTCACACTGTGAGTTCGGTTCGTTGATGGATAGATGGACATTTTATGCGCTAGGGCAGACACCACAGGCACGTCCTTTCTGAAGCCGGCAATGGATGTCGACCTCGGGTGCTGTAGGTGCGCCACACTGGACATCCCACTATTCACAGGTCTTTTACCATTATGGAAGTTTTACCACGCCGAAATGCTCTCAAGAGCAACGAAGAGGAATGTTGCGGAATGACCACTACGGAGCGCTGCTCACCGGGTTCCATGCATCAGACGACAGAACGGTCGAACGGTCCCCAACCTCGCCGAGGAAATTCCAGCTCCCCATTGCCAACGAGCCAGTACGGTCTCCACATCGCTATCGATGTACACTCCGGTATTACAACTACATTTCGGTAGTATTTGATTTCTGCAATTTCTATGACGTGCGCCCCCACCCCGATTCGGAGCGGCTCTTCAAGTTCGCTGTGCGCAACCTCGCATCGTAGTAGACGATTTAGAGCCCGTACCCGGCTCGTTTCTCGACGGCCTCTTTTGCGCCACACTCTGCCGGCGTTCTATCCTTTTTCAAATCACCGGACACGGCGTAGGATCGTCGCATGCAGGATCGACGCTTGGACGGAGGAGGCTCGAAGGACTCGGAGTCTTATCAGCTCCAGACGAATCTAGAGTTGCAACTAGGCCTCTTCCTAGCACTAGAAGACCGTTAGAGTTGAACAAGCAATGCGTCGATCATGAAGACTTGAAGACTTGCAGGGGGAGATGGCCGAGTTAATGACCGAGGTGGGCGTCTCGGTGACAACTTGCCAGTCAGTGGACAACAACCTCCCCGAGACCTCGACCGTTCACGTTGGCGATCGTGTTTGTTCTGCCCCTCATTTCACGCTCACAAATTCACGATTTTCATTCGCGTGGACAACCTCGTTGACATTCTCCAAGGCAACACTTCAAGTTTCAAGCTTCAAGGTCCCTGCCTCACTAACGTGCTCTTATAATTCCTCCGCCGATCGTCACTGAGGCATTTGCCACAGTGCCCGCGGCTTGCAGGCAGACGGCTGACACGGTGTCCCTGCCCGTTGACGGTGGCAATTCTCGGTGACGGGCGCTTTTCATTTGCACAGGCAGCTGAGTTGTTGAAGCATTTGTAAGGTACATGTGGAACTCGGAGACAGATGTGGGCC